GTTACAATGGTAAATGGGAGTGTTTCCTTAATTTCTCTTTCAGATTTTTCATCATTAGTGTATAGGAATGCAAGAGATTTCTGTGTATTAATTTTGTATCCTGCTACTTTACCAAATTCATTGATTAGCTCTAGTAGTTTTCTGGTGGCATCTTTAGGATTCTCTGTGTATAGTATCATGTCATCTGCAAACAGTGACAGCTTTACTTCTTTTCCAATTTGGATTCCTTTTATTTCTTTTTTTTCTCTGATTGCTGTGGCTAAAACTTCCAAAACTATGTTGAATAATAGTGGTGAGAGTGGGCAACCTTGTCTTGTTCCTGATCTTAGTGGAAATGGTTTCAGTTTTTCACCATTGAGAACAGTGTTGGCTGTGGGTTTGTCATATATGGCCTTTATTATGTTAAGTTCCCTCTATGCCTACTTTCTGGAGGGTTTTTATCATAAATGGGTGTTGAATTTTGTCAAAAGCCTTTTCTGCATCTATTGAGATGATCATATGGTTTTTCCCCTTCAGTTTGTTAATATGGTGTATCACATTGATTGATTTGTGTATATTGAAGAATCCTTGCATTCCTGGGATAAACCCCACTTGATCAGGGTGTATGATCCTTTTAATGTGCTGGTTCATTCAGTTTGCTAGTATTTTGTTGAGGGGTTTTGCTTCTATGTTCATCAGTGATATTGGCCTGATATTTCTTTGTGACATCTTTGTGTGGTTTTGGTATCAGGGTGATGGTGGCCTCGTAGAATGAGTTTGGGAGTGTTCCTCCCTCTGCTATATTTTGGAAGAGTTTGAGAAGGATAGGTGTTAGCTCTTCTCAAAATGTTTGATAGAATTCGCCTGTGAAGCCATCTGGTCCTGGGCTTTTGTTTGTTGGAAGATTTTTAATCACAGTCCCCATTTAAGTGCTTGTGATTGGTCTGTTTATATTTTCTGTTTCTTCCCGGTTCAGTCTCAGAACGTTGTGCTTTTCAAAGAATGTGTCCATTTCTTCCAGGTTGTCCCATTTTATTGGCATAGAGTTGCTTCTAGTAATCTCCAGTGATCCTTTGTATGTCTGCAATGTCAGTTGTTACTTCTCGTTTTTCATTTCTAGTCCTGTTGATCTGAGTCTTCTCCCTTTTTTACCTGATGAGTCTGGCTAATAGTTTATCAATTTTGTTTATCTTCTCAAAGAACCAGCTTTTAGTTTTATTGATCTTTGCTATTGTTTCCTTCATTTCTTTTATTTCTGATCTGATCTTTATGATTTCTTTCCTTCTGCTAACTTTGGGTTTTTTGTTCTTCTTTCTCTAATTGCTTTAGGTGTGTAAGGTTAGGTTGTTTATTTGAGATGTTTCTTGTTTCTTGAGGTAGGATTGTATTGCTGTAAACCTCCCTCTTAGAACTGCTTTTACTGCATCCCATAGGTTTTGGGTCGTCATGTTTTCATTGTCATTTGTTTCTAGGTATTTTTTCATTTCCTCTTTCATTTCTTCAGTGATCTCTTGGTTATTAAGTAGTGTATTGTTTAGCCTCCATGTATTTGTATTTTTTACAATTTTTTTCCTGTAATTGATATCTAGTCTCATAGCATTGTGGTTGGAAAAGATACTTGATACGATTTCAATTTTCTTAAATTTACTAAGGCTTGATTTGTGACCCAAGATATGCTCTATCCTGGAGAATGTTCCATGAGCACTTGAGAAGAACATGTATTCTGTTGTTTTTGGATGGAATGTCCTATAAATATCAGTTAAGTCCATCATGTTTAATGTATCATTTAAAGCTTGTGTTTATTTATTTTCATTTTGGATGATCTGTCCATTGGTGAAAGTGGGGTGTTAATGTCCCCTACTATGAATGTGTTCTCAACCTGTCTTGACCTCTGCTTATCTTATAAAATGAAGGATGAGTACTTTTAGTGCTTCCTGGATGCTTTCTAATTCTGGACGCCAAGCTAGATGAGCCAGCTGTGCACCTTCTCTGTGCCTGCACCTGAACAGCTGTGCACACAGTAGGGCAGACCTAATGCCCAGTATGAGTGCATGGGATTAGGTCTGCCCTGTTGTGTCACCAGCTCCAAATGCACGCACAGTGCCAGCCATCCTGATGTGTTTCTTTGGGCGACTCAGGTTTCTGCTCTCAAAACAATCATTTTCACACCTTCTTCGGTCGTTTTAAACCTCTTTTCAAAACTTCTCCCCACCTTTCTTCCTCATTCTTAACAAATAAACCTCCCTTCCCACTTCTTAAAAAAAAAAAAAAAAAAGAGCAAGCCTGGAATTCCCTAATCCTCCTGATACCGAAATTAACCTCTTCGAGTCTGCACCCACACGACTCTCCTTCCCCACCCAAACAGAAGATGCCGGTCTCCCCAGCAATGCTTGCACCCCACCCTCTCCTGCACTTACTGTTTCTTCCATGGAAGTTAACATAGCTTTTTTGCCTTTGCTTTTAAGCTTTCTCTCTTTGTCCTGGATTCTCAGCAATTTTATTATGATGTGCCTACATATAGGTTTTTTTGCTTTTTTTGTTTTTGTTTTTTTAAAAATCTTTAGGCTGAGCCACACAGCATGTGGGACTTAGTTCCCAGACCAGGGGTCTAACCCGGATCCCCTGCATTGGCAGTGCGGAGTCTTAACCACTGGACCACCAGGGATGTCCCCATGTAGTTTTATTTTAAAATATTTTCCCTTTGGAATCTGCAGTTAAGGGATGTAACTAAAGTCATCCAGGGTCAGGACTATCACCCGAGTCTTCTTACCTCAAGTCTACTGCTCCTTCAGGACAAGGACACAACACATCATGCCATAATATTTACAGAGACAATTTTTTTTCTTTTTTTTTTTTGTGGTACGCGGGCCTCTCACTGCCGTGGCCTCTCCCGTTGCGGAGCACAGGCTCCGGACGTGCAGGCTCAGCGGCCATGGCTCACGGGCCCAGCCGCTCTGCGGCATGTGGGATCTTCCCGGACCGGGGCACTAACCTGTGTCTCCTGCATCGGCAGGCGGACTCTCAACCCCTGCGCCACCAGGGAAGCCCCAGAGACAACTTTTTAAATGAAAATACTTCATGCGCTTTCTTTATTCATTTCATAAATGTTTCTTCAGGATTTACCATGAGCCAGGCCCTGAGCTGGCGCTGGAGATTTGATAGAGGGCAGAAACGTGCAGGGTCCCTGCTGTCCTCGAGCTCCAGCCGAATGGGAGAGATGGATGTGACCGTCCTTCAGGGATACTTGCTTTTGCTCCAGCGCACCACCAGGATGGAGGCCAGGAGTCTTTGCCCATCCGGTACTGAGCTCATTCAGAGCTGAGTTTCAGCCTCTAGGAGGACTGGTCTGCTTCCAGGGCACTCGGACTCCCAGGAGGAAAGCCTTTGAGGGGTCCCAGCCGAGGGTCTGGACATTTACCAGGCCCCTCCTCTGTGGTGGGCCTGAACTCCAGTTTCTTCTCTCTAGTAAGGTGAAACTTCCGAAGGTGTTTTTAAACTACTCAGCCTCTTAGCATCGGCTTCCAACTCAGCAAAGACCTTGAGGGGGAAAAGCAGCCTTGAGCATCACTCTCACCTAGTGTGTCTCCCTTTTCTCCTCAAGTTCTGTACTTCTTCACAGCCCCCAGCACTTGGGTTGGTCACTGTGCCCAGCTCCGGAGCCTCACAGCCTTTCCGCCTGTACTGCTAACCTACCAACAGATGCCTCAGAGGGAAACACAGCCAGGATGTCAGGCTCACCTGACTGCGCGCCTCTTTAGTATTGTGGACCCTGGCACCCTGGCTGTCCCGGTAGCTCTACAGTGCCTTCAAACTGCTTGTCGTTCAATTCAGTTTTCTACTTGTTCTTGGCAGAAGAGTTGGCGTAGTACCGTTTAGTCTGACGTAGCCTGGGGTGGAGTCCCGTGATGAGTGCAGGTTACTTATCAGAACTTTTAACACCTACCTTCAGCTTTTCTTAAGCAGCTCACACCTCTTGCCAAGCCTCCCTCCCCATCACCTTCTGTCTGCACTCTTTTCGTGCGATCTCACCACCCCACGCCTTTCCGGGTGTGTGAAACTTAAAAACTGTTTCCCCTCCCAACAGTTGCATGGGTGTTGTTGGTGGATAACATTTTTCAGGGCCAGTGACTGGGTGTGGTGAAAGTGGTTGGGTTCTTGGCATGAGCTAGTTCAGGTTCAGGGCCCTCTAAGTTGTTGGTTTTGTTTTGATCTCTCTCTAGTGAGAGAGACTCGCGGCTTTCTTCTTAGCTTGTTTCCAGGATGTTTTACGGTGTCGAGGAACCAGTTGGGAAGGTGGGAATCACATGGGGTTCCCTCTGTCTATGGAGTCGTCACTGAGATTGGTTGCATGCACAGGGTGGCAAATTCCTAAGCAAATTTAACAGTGATGAGGTGGTTGGTTCTGTCACTTGCGCTACTTCTCCACATCACCTCAGCTTAGGGTGCCCTAACTTACGGTGGTAGTTCTGTTGGTCATTCTGGGGACCCATTAAAAATTTAAACACAATCTATTGTTGTCTTTGCATATTGTACGTACTCTCGTCCATGTACGCCTCACCATAACCCAGTGAGAACAGGACTGATTTTCCCACTTGGACTCTGAGTCCAGCAGCCTCTGATCCCGGTCATTCGGCCCCCGGCACCGCGCTGCTCTCCCCAGGGCTCCTCCTGCCGTGGGGTTATTATCCGCCCTTGGAGATTTAGCTTTGCAGAACTGCACGGGAGACAGTCCGCTGCTTCCCAAGTGGTCTGTGTTCAAGAATGAGACTGCGCAACCCGTACTGCTAGGCAAACACCACATCTGGGCAAGACAGGCCCTTCTGAGGACTCCTCGTCTCCTTAAGACAGAGTATGTGGCAACTTACTTTGCAAAGTACAAGCTGGCTGGTGTGTTATTAACTTACCATGAGTCAGGACGCATGCTCTGTATAAATTTTGATTTATTTGCTATCTTGAAACCAGAACTGCAAAAAAATTGATTAACTGTGAAGTAACATTATATCTGTCATTCTTGATTTCAGGGAAGTTTAATTAGCATTAACAGCACTTGTACAGAGATGGGCAATTTTGACAACGCAAATGTCACTGGAGAGATAGAACTTGCCATTCGCTACTGCTTCAGAACTCGTTCTTTAGAAATATGCATCAAGGCCTGTAAGAACCTTGCCTATGGGGAGGAAAAGAAGAAAAAGTGCAATCCGTAAGTTTCTTTGTCTAAGTTTTGGCATATAATAATAGACATATTGATTCTAAAGTTCATATGGAAAAATGAAAGTCCAAGAATAACCAAGGTAATTGTAAAAATATATATAAATAAAAACAAAAGGACATGTTAAGAATTATCATAAAGCTTAGTAATTCAGGGTTTCCCCAGTGGCACAGTGGTTGAGAATCCACCTGCCAATGCAGGGGACATGGGTTTGATCCCTGGCCCGGGAAGATCCCACATGCCGCGGAGCAACTAAGCCCGTGCGCCACAACTACTGAGCCTGTGCTCTAGAGCCCGTGAGCCACAACTACTGAGCCTGCGTGCCACAACTACTGAAGCCCGCACGCCTAGAGCCTGTGCTCCACAATGAGAGAAGCCACTGCAATGAGAAGCCCACGCACCACAACGAAGAGTAGCCCCCAGTCACCGCAACTAGAGAAAGCCCACGCGTGGCAGGGAAGACCCAACACAGCCAAAAATAAATAAATAAATAAAATTTTAAAAAAGAAAAAAGCTTAGTAATTCCAACAACGTGTTATGGATGCAAGGATAGACAAGGAGGTCAGTAGAGCAGAATCAAAAGTCCAAATACAGATCTTAGCATACATGGGAACTTAAATGATTGAGAGGCTACTAATAATCAATGCAGAAAAGGTGGACTTCAATAAATGGTGCTGGGAAATTTGATTTTCTGTGTAGGAAAAATAAAATCCTGTCTCACACAATCCATAAAGAGATTAATTTTTTTCCAGTCGGTAGATATGAAATGTCTCATTATTTTAACACGCATCTCACTGATTAATAACAAAGATGAGCAACCTTATGTATATGAATTAATCACTTAAGATACACTCCCCTTCTATGAACTCCCCATTTCATATCTTTTATCCAATTTTCTATCGAATTGTTTGTCATTTAAGAATTTATTTACAGGAGTTTGGCTTTTTTTTTTTTTTTTTCGGTACGCGGGCCTCTCACTGTTGTGGCCTCTCCCATCGCGGAGCACAGCCTCCGGACGTGCAGGCTCAGCGGCCATGGCTCATCCACGGCATGTGGGACCCTCCCGGACCGGGGCACGAACCCGTGTCCCCTGCATCAGCAGGCGGACTCTCAACCACTGCGCCACCAGGGAAGCCCAGGAGTTTGGCTTTTTAAAAATCCATTTTCAAGACAGTTCTCCATTGGTTCTACATATTGCACATGTCTTCTCTTAGCTTTACTTGTTTTCTGACATTGTTTATGATGACTTTTCTTATAAAGAATTTAATGTCCAATTGATCCTTCTTTTCCTTTAAAATGTCTGCTGTTTGAGCCTGTAGGAGAATTCCACCTGAAGGTTATAAATACATTCTTCTCTGTTTTCTTCTATTAGAGTTTTTTCCCACTTAGATCCTTTCATATTAGAGCTGGAATTGATTTTCTGTGCATGGTTTAAGGTACAGACCACATTTTGGCCTTTTTTTTCTTTTTTTCCCCCACCATGGAACGTTTTTAGCACACTGTTTTCAGGACCAGGTAGGCGAAAGGAATGGATTGTTGGTCCAATCAAACTCTCCTCTGCTCTGCAATCTTCAGTAGCTCCTCAGTGCCAGACAAATTAGGTGCATCACTATAGCACCTATGGCTCTCCATAACAGATTCCTCCTATATTTCTAGTCGTCTTTTATTCCCCTATCTGTACCTTCTGCTCTGGAGAAATTGGAATAGTCACTGTTCCAAAACGATCCCCTGACTTTTACCAAATACGAGGCTTTTCTCATGTTTGTTCTGAGACTGTTTCTCCTGTGCTACTCCCATAAGTGGAAATTGCAATCCTGTCCATTCTTCAGACTCATTTCCAATCCCATCAGCTCCATTTATTCAATCCTTGACCTTCCAAGCATGTTGGGTCTCTCCCATAATTCTCTACAGGGTTTGACCTCTGATAAGTTATTCAACCTCTCCATATCTTGACGTCCTCACTGTAACATGGAGGTTATGTTATCACCTCCTTCAAAGCATTGTTGTGGTGTTTCCCTGAACTAGCCTGCAGTAAGTCTTCAGAACAGTGTTGAGAACGTAATAAACATTCAACAAATATTATTCTTAAGCAGGTGAGGTGGGAAGTGCATAGAGAAGTAGACCTAAAATCCACATAGGGATCCCTTGAGGCTTTGGCCAAATACTAAGCTGTTCAGATACAGGACAAGATTTCATGAGGTCTGTCAGAGGGGAGCTACTGGAGGGTGGTAAGTGGAATGAAAAATCTGGGAGTTGCACGGTGCTGGGAAAGATTGGTGTGTTTTTTTTTTTTTTTTTAATTTTATTTTTGGCTGTGTTGGGTCTTCATTGCTGCATGCAGGCTTTCTCTAGTTGGGGCGAGTGGGGCTACTCTTCGTGGTGTATGGGCTTCTCACTGCAGTGGCTTCTCTTGTTGTGGACTATGGGCTCTAGGCACGCGGGCTTCAGTAGTTGTAGCATGAGGGCTCAGTAGTTGTGGTGCACGGGCTTAGTTGCTCCGTGACATGTGGGATCTTCCCAGACCAGGGGTCGAACCCATGTCCCCTGCATTGGCAGGTGGATTCTTAACCACTGTGCCACCAGAGAAGTCCCAAGATTGGCGTTCTGACCAGTCAAAGTGGAGTGGGGCATTGAGTGGACCCCAGGAAAGAAAAGCTTAGTATTAGGGCTTCTCTAACCCACCCTAACTAAGCAAAATCAATCCTTGTTAGGATCAAACTGAGTTTCCAGTAAGTGAAATGCCTGCTAGAACAAAACTCAATACTTTGTAAAGGAAACACATGGTCAAGAGAGGATTCTGAAAGATGGCAGAGTAGGAGGCCTCAGGAATCCATCTGCCCCTGTAGACAGCTGCACTGGCAGAATCTGTCTGATGGAACTGTTTTGGAATTCTGGAGTCTTTTGAAGGCTTTCAGCTTCCTAGGGGAAGTGTTGGATGGTAAATTGAGATTAATGTCAGTCAATTCCAGCTCTTAGCGCAGTGTTAACTACCCATCCCCCCTATGCCCAACCCCTTGGCGGACAGCTGTGCATATGTTCCTAGACCAGCTTGAACACAGCTTGTAGGAGCCAGATGGGCAAAGGATCCTGTCTTCCAAATATCAGGGACCTGTTCTCTGATTGCTGGTTCTTATTGCAGAGGTAGAAAAAAAACCGGCAGGCAGCCATTGTTGTTTCACCTCCCCCCATTGTTGCAATCCCCTCCTGCTTGGGCTGAAGTGATTTACAAAGTATATAAAGGGCCAGTGCCCTTATTTGTCTCCCTTCTGCATTTTTCTCTTTTTCCCCTTCTTGGGAACTGGATACTAAAGACCAGGACATTCAAGAGTAACTGTATATACAAGGAAAATTTTAAAGTGACCACACATGCCCAGGGAAAGGTTCAGGTTCAGAAAAGATCTGAGAAGATCTTAATTTTACACTTCAGGCTGATCCTTGGCACAGAGACAGTCTGCATCAATAAATTTATGAAAAACCCAATTGAAAAACCCAATTTAAAAACCAATAACAAAAAACAGCAAACCCTGGGGAAGGGGGAGAATCTGATTTCCAGAGTTAACATATTATTAGACACTGTTGTCCAGCGTTCAACAAAAAAAAATCACAAGGCATATAAAGAAACAGGAAAGTATGGTTCATTCAAAGGGAAAAAATAAATCAACAGAAACTGTCCCTGAAAGAGATCTGATGGTAGGTTTACTAGACAAAGACTTGAAAACAACTGTTTTAAGGATGCTCAAAGAACTAATGAAAGATGTGGAGAAAATCAAGAAAATGATGTATGAACAAAACAGAAATATCAATAAAGAGATTGAAAACCTTAAACAACAAAATATTTACTAGAGGGATTCAAAGGTAGGTATGAGCAGGTAAAAGAAAGAATAGGTGGGCTTCCCTGGTGGTGCAGTGGTTAAGAATCCACCTGCCAATGCAGGGGACACGGGTTCGAGCCCTGGTCCGGGAAGATCCCACATGCCGTGGAGCAACTAAGCCTGTGTGCCACAACTACTGAGGCCTGTGCGCCTAGAGCCTGTGCTCTGCAACAAGAGAAGCCACCGTGATGAGAAGCCCTCACACTGCAATGAAGAGTAGCCCCCACTCACCACAACTAGAGAAAAGCCCATGCGCAGCAACGAAGACCAACACAGCCAAAAATAAATTAATTTAAAAACAAAAGAATAGGTGAACTTGAAGATAGGATGAAGGAAATTACTGAGTCTGAGGAACAGAAAGAAAAAAGATTAAAGAAAAGCAAACAGAACCTAAAGGACCTTCTGGACACCATTAAGTGGACCAACATAAGCAACATATGTCCCAGAAGGAGAAGAGAGACAGCAAGGGGCAGAGAGAATACTCGAAGGAATAATGGCTGAAAACTACCCCAATTTGATGAAAGACATGAATATAAACATCAAAGAAGCTCTTTGAACTCCAAGTATGATGAACTCAAAGACACCCACACTGAGACACATCATAAACCAACATTTGAAAGACAAAGACAAAGAATCTTGAAAGCAGCAAGAAAGTGAATCGTCATGTACTAGGGATCCTCAATAAGATTATCAGCAGATTCCCATCAGAAACTTTAGAGGCCAGAAGGCAGTGGGTCAATATATTCAAGGTGCTAAAAGGAAAAACAAACACAGCACAACTGTTCTTCAAAAGTGAGGGAGAAATTACAACATCCTCAGCTAAACAAAAGGTGAGAGAGTGCATGAAATGACACTAGATGGTAACTTAAGACATATGAAAAGATAAAGATCTCAATAAAAGCAAATATTACTAGCAATTATAAAAGCAAGTATTATTGTAACAGTGGTAAGTAATTCCACTTTTTGTTTTTTATATGACTTCGGACATTTTAAAAGGTTATTGGTCTCTTATTGTCATTTTGGTTTGTAACTCCACGCTTTGTTTTCGAGATAATTTAAGAGACTAATGCATTTAAAAGAATTCTTACTTTGTGTTTTTGGTCACACATGTATACAGATGTATTTTTGTGACATCAGCAGTGGAAAGAGGTGAGGATGGAGCTGAGAAGGAGTAGAGCTCTTGTATGTTACTGAGGTTAAGTTGGTATAAATTCAAATTAGAGTGTTATAACTTTAGGATATTAAATGTAATCCCCTTGGTAACCACAGAGAAAACAGCTATAGAACAAAAACCAAAACAAAAGAAATGAGAAAGGAATTTAAACACTTCACCACAGAAAATCAACTAAACACAAAAGAATACAGTATAAGGGCTTCCCTGGTGGCGCAGTGGTCGAGAGTCCGCCTGCCAATGCAGGGGATGCGGGTTCGTGCCCCGGTCCGGGAAGATCCCACATGCCGCAGAGCGGCTGGGCCCGTGAGCCATGGCCGCTGAGCCTGTGCGTCTGGAGCCTGTGCTCCGCAACGGGAGAGGCCAAAACAGTGAGAGGCCTGCGTACTGCAAAAAAAAAAAAAAAAAGTAAGGCAGAAAGTGAGGGACAGAAAAGCTATAAGGCAAAAGAAACAGCAAATGACAGAAGTACTTCTTATCAGTAATTTAAATACAAATGAACTTGACTCTCCAGTCAAAAGACAGAAATTGGCAGAATGGCTAAAAACATGAGATCCAACTATACGCCATCTACAAGAGACTCACTTGAGGTCCAAAGACACAAGTGGAAGATATTCCATGCAGATGGTAACCAAGAGTGAGCAAGGTGGCTGTACCAGTATCAGGCAAAATCGGCTTTAAGTCAGACAAGCTTAGAAAAGATAAAGGCATTCTGTATTAATAGGTTCAGTACAGCAAGATGATGTAACAATTACAAATGTCTGTGTACCTAATGACAGACCATCAAGAGACAAGAAGCAACACCTGACGGAATTGAAGGGAGAAATAGTTCTACAGTAATAGTTGGAAATGTCAATACTCCGCTCTCAGTAACGGATAGGACATCCAGACAGAGGATAAGAAAGGAAATAGAGGACTTAAGGACTAGATACATGGGTGTGTATTTTATTGTAATGCTTTAAGCTATACAGGTATATTTTATATCTCCTGTTTAACGTGTGTGAGGGGTCTCGTAATGATCAACAATTTAAGAGTCAACGAACAGTGAGGTATTGGTGACCATGAGCCTTGAGTACTTTTCCAAGAAGTTTGCTGAAAGCGGGTTAGAGGCCTGAGACTGGGGCTCCAGGGGGAACCCAGGTCGAGGGAGGGTTCCTGCTCTTTATTGCTTTGAGAAAGTTGAGCCTGTTTCTAGCCTGTGGGTACAGGACCTGGGCAAGTGGTGTCACTGCATCAGTAAAGCTGCTGGAAGAGCCAGGAAGGGCAGTCTTGGGACCTGAGTGGAGGGACCGGCCTGGGACGGAGCTTCATGGAGTGGGCAGGGGGCAGTGCGGCGCTGGCCTTGGTCAGGCTTCCTCTGCTGGCGTGGTCTCCAGACCCAGGGACAGGGCTCGGGAACACCGGTCCTCAGCAGGCAGGACGCAGTGTCTGAGGCCACACAAGGAAAACCAAAGTGTGAGACATACACTTTCCATTTCAACTTTTTTTTCTTGAGGGTTGGGGAGGTACGTGGAGGGAGGATAAGCTGGCACACAGCCTCGGCATCCAGGTAGGTTAGACATCTGCCACCCACAGAGCCCTGGGAGCCTCTGGTTCCCTGGTGGTTACCCAGTGACAGGTGATGGATTCCAGGAGTAGGGCGTGAGGAAAGCAGGGAGCTTCACACCCCCAGGAACATTCCCGAGGACCACAGCCAGAGACTGTGTAAGCCAGGGGCTGTGCACCCAGCACTGTCATTGTTCACTGAGTGGCGGCCACTAAGCCCTTTCTGTCAACCCCAAATGCAGCGGGAAGCAGGGTAAAGAAAACGCTGACGTGTGATTCTCCTCCTGAACCCTTTGTCCGCCCCTGACGCTGAGCTTTTCACCCTGTCCTGTCTGTGTTTGGCCACTAGGTATGTAAAGACCTATCTGCTGCCCGAAAGATCCTCCCAGGGAAAACGCAAGACTGGAGTCCAAAAGAACACGGTGGAGCCGACCTTTCAGGAGACCTTGAAGGTACTTGCTGGACAAATATTCATGTGCTGAGTCTCCCCATCCCGGGATGGGCCCCTGGGGCCAGAGTCCAGCGGATGGTTCTTCTAAACTCTCGAGTCAGTTAAATGTAAGTGCAGACACTTAAACGTTTCTGCAGGGCCCTGTCAGTCAGTGGCAAGTGGTAGAAGATAGAAGATATCAGCCTTTGTACAGAGAAACTGCGGAGTCTGCTGGACTTGAGAATGGCCTTTGATTAATGATTTGCGAGAAAATGGTAGAAAAGAAACTGCCTGCCTCTCAATTTCTAAAATTGGTTTGTCCTGTTGAATTTTTATGACTATCAGAGAGGTATCGAGTAAGGGACCCCGTAAGTGAAACTGCTGAGTTATTATGATGAAGAAGTACTTTTATGAAGATAACGTCTGGTATACCTAGATTTCTTATTTTATGAAAAACTAGTCATTTTATGAAAAAAAAAGCCTAGAGGAATTGTTTGGGTTTTCATTTTCTTTGGTGCTAAGAAATGTGACTTGTGGTTTAGGGCAGAGATCAGGGAGGCAGTGCCTCCTGCTGGGATTCAGGATGGAAAATTGGAGGTGATGTCTGGCGAGTGCAGATGGCAGGTGGGTGTGGGAGGTGGAAGAATAGTCCAGAGGCACAGCTGGGTAGCCCGGGGATCCCATGTGTCAAGCCTGAGGAAGGAGAGGACTTTTGTTTGCCTTCCTTGGCAGATAGCATTTGTGAACTCCCAACCAGGGGCCGTCCGGGTGGCTGCCCCAAGAGTCCTGTTCGAGACATGAAAATAGCCATTGTTCTCCATGCGCCTGCTGTGGCCAAGTACTTTATATACCCTCTGAGCCAGGTGTTAGAATCCTCACTTAGCAGTAGGGAAACTGAGGCTTAGAGAGTACTTAAAAGTACAGCTGTGACCCACGATGGGCTAGCACTCCTTCACAAAATTGACGTTCACAAGGACTCCTCAAGGGATTTTCTATGTAAAGCAGATTGTGACTCAGCAAGTGTGGGCAGGGCCTAAGGCGCTGCTTGTCTGGGACACTCTGGTAGTGAATTACTGGACACTAGTCTTCATGTGGTTTTGCTCATGTACCTGCTGACAGAGTTTTGAAAAGCTCTGTACCCCCTCAAAGGTGTAAGCTGATATATAAAATTACTCATCACAGGTTTAAGGTGTTTCATACTAAACAGAGGCAGACAAATACTTCCTATTTTATGAAACGAGACAAAGATGAGGATTGACTATTTTAAATACTTCATTATATACTTTGATTTTTAAAGTTTTAACTACCTTATTTAAAATGCACCCAGAATCTCAAAGGAATCACCTATAATTTGTTATCCATCGGTTTTATCTAGTATATTGTGAATATCGTGAAGAACTTTCCAGATGCATTGAAAAGAATCAGTGTCTTCATTCTAAATGTAGAACATCTCAACACAGACCCAGGCTTAGCCTTCATAGAAGTATGTGTAAGATGGAAAAGATGGGAAGATGAAGAAGCTGAGCAATCATTAACAGAACTCCCCCTGAGGCTGCACCCCTGGGGCAGGGCACAGGAGTAAGATACCAGGTGTGAGAACTGTCTTCACCAGTTTTGAGAAAAGTGCATGTGAAAGTTGAGGATCTAGAAATTGATCCTCCAAGTTTTCTAAGTAGAACACTCCTGGGGGGAGACTTTCTGCACTCCAAGGGGTGCTGGCACTCCCCCTGAAGACCACTCAGTGGGGGGCCTGGGAAGGATGAAACAAGACACCAGGTCTGGGTGACGCTGGCCGTCGCCTTATCCTTGTTCTCTGGCATTGGTTACACTTGGTACCCCGTGGAAGCTAGCAATCCAGGGTCTGCTGGCACGGCCTTGTGGACCTAACAGGCAATGGAAAATAGGTCTTATTTTATGGTATTTTTACATTTTTTTAAATTAATTTTATTATTTTTGGCTGCATTAGGTCTTTGTTGCTGTGCGCGGGCTTTCTCTAGTTGCAGCGAGCAGGGGCTACTCTTCATTGCAGTGCATGGGCTTCTCGTTGCGGTGGCTTCTCTTGCTGCGGAGCACGAGCTCTAGGCGCATGGGCTTCAGTAGTTGTGGCACACGGGCTCAGTAGTTGTGGCTTGCGGGCTCTAGAGCGCAAGCTCAGTAGTTGTGGGGCACAGGCTTAGCTGCGCCACGGCATGTGGGATCTTCCTGACCCAGGGCTCAAACCCATGTCGCCTGCATTGGCAGGAGGGTTCTTAACCACTGCACCACCAGGGAAGCCTCTAGGTCTAATTTTAAAACGCAGATTCAGTCAACCAAAGGAAGTAGTCAGGACCCAAAGAGAAGTAGGCCTGTGTTTCCAAGGGAGTTGAGGAGGGCTGCCCAGCGTGCAGAGACCACGCAGCTGCCCCAAGGAGGGCAGACCTGCAGGGACGGTCAACTTTCCTCCGCAAAGTAGCTCGTTCTGAGAGGGAGCAGACAGCACGGTGCACTGTCGGCCTGGACTTGACTAATGGGGCATGTAGCCATGAAGGAAATAACTAGATTAATTTAGAGTTTAAAGATAGAGTATGGAACAAGGGGCAGAGTTGGAAATGGGCATGGAATTGAGGGGGAGAGACTAAAAATCGTCTGGGAGCTGTGGCCTGGGTGCTGTGAGCCTGGGAGCTGTGGGCCTGGGAGCTGTGGCTCAGGTGCCCAGGTTGACCATCTCTGTTCCCCCTCCGCAGTACCAGGTGGAGCCTTCCCAGCTGGCGACCCGGCAGCTGCAGGTGTCTGTGTGGCACCTGGGCACACTCGCCCGGAGGGTGTTTCTTGGAGAAGTGATCATCCCTCTGGCCACGTGGGACTTTGAGGACCGCACGACCCAGTCTGCCCGCTGGTATCCGCTCCAGGCCAAGGTGATATCTGCTTTGGGTGATGTCTGGGCAGCCCCTACCCCCATCCCACCACGAGAACCAAACCCACTTTTCAAAGGGGATCCAAGGAGAGAAAACCCACCTGGGGAGCCTGGGACCCAGGACCCAGTGCACACCTGCCAGCCTGTGGCTCTGCAGTAGGAGCTTCCGGGCAGCAGAGGCTCACAGCTGGGGCGGGGGGGGGGGGGGGGGTTGGGCTGAGGGACTCTTACCTGCTCAGGTTTGTTCAAGGTCCCAAATAGTCCCACCCTCAGTGTGGCCCCGACATCAGCGGGGACCCGGCCTGGTGGGTCCACGCGCTTCCCAGCATTCAGGGTCACTTACTGCCAGCTGGGGAGGTCTTGACCTTCTTGGGCCAAAGTCTACACCTGGGGCCAGCTGGTGGGACCCGCCTCAGACTGCAGGCTCTCGTGTATTGTATCTTCACTCCCAACCAAGCAGCGTCCCCCAAACGGTAACGGGTGAGAATGACTGGACCCAGTGCCCTCAGGAAGGCAGGGCCAGGGGTTCCGTGTCGGATAGGCTGGGAGAGCAGAGCTGGCTGGTGGCCACGCAGGTGAGAGGGAGAGACAGGGGGGAAAGGGTAGCGCTTCTTGGGGCGGCTGCTTTGTGCATTTTTTTTTTTTTTTTTTTTTTTTTTTTGCTTTATGCATTTCTGTGCCAAGATCCAAGATGTGAGATTGTGAAGGGGGAGAAAATGTGGGCTCTGCCACCTGCTTCTTAGAAATGGCAGTAGGATGTGCAGTTCCACCAGTGAAAGCCTGGCAGCGAGGCTGAGTCTTTACGAGGGTCCCCGGTGCCATCTTACCTGTTTTCCTCTCCCAAGCCAGGCAGGCTCTGATTCACGATGCCCCTCCTGAGAAGCATCTCCGATTTCTACAGGGTTAAGCCCGGGGCCTCCTGTCTCTTTTCTCGGTGGGGTCTGTGAGCCCGCACACACCCTCTCCGGTGCCCTGCGCTTCCTCTTCTCATAACCCGAGTCCGTCTTCAGAACTCCACTTGGGAATATCCGCTTGGATATTCTTTCTGCAGGTCTAAGGTCTGCCCAAGGGTCCTTAAATCCCACCTCCTCCATGAAGGCTTTCCTGATTTTCCGTGCCAGATGTGGTCTCCCCTGTACTCGAGGGGCCCTTCCCGCCTTCTCCCCACAGGATCCCTTACTCGGGTCGAGGCAGGCTGCCACCAAGGCTGGTCACCTTTGGATAAGCAGGCGAGGAACAGAAATCACCAGACTGAAAGGTGTCCCTCCTAATCCCAGCTAATAGTTAGTGACAGCCCACGCCGGATCGGGGCGGGGGGTCCACTCACGGGCCTGCCCCTTCGGCCCTGACAGGAGGGAACCATGGGGATGCTGAGGGGGGAGCCTGCTGCTCCCTGCCGGTGGGACCGGACGAATCTAGACGCTTCCCAGCGTCCCACCCTCACCCCGCTAGGTGAAATGTTGATGGGGTCACAGTCACCCTCTCCAAGCCCTTCCTTCGCTCACTTTCTGGCAGAAATCGCTTGCGACCAGAGAAGCCACCTGCGTCCTCAGTGTGGGTTCTGGGGTGGGCGGGGCCGACTCAGCAGCCGGGGGAGCCCCTCGCCGGGGGCACCGAGCCCCGGACCCCGTGGTTTCCCGTGTCTGCCGCAGTCCCTGGCACGGACGGGTAGCTCGAACCTTTACTAACCTGGGTGGAGTCGATGTGGGCTTGTTTGACTTGTTCAGCTTCGGGTTGTGCTCAGGCTTCCTTAAGGCCAATCCCATGGGGATGTGCCAGGGCCTCGGGGCCCCCCTGCTTCCTCGGCTCATTTGCCTCTGGTGGGCTGCGTCTGCCGGGGTGGCAGAGCTGGGGTTGGTGAGGGTAGGAGTGAAACGCCCCCAAACGGAAAGAAGCTCAGCCCTGCCACAGGTGTGCCCACACCACCTGGGGCTCCCCCAGGCCCGCAGAGGCTTGGCAGGGGGAGGTTGGAAGGGGACGCTCGTGGACAGAACTGAGGCAGTGAGAGAAGCCCAGGAGATTCTGGCTCTGGGGAATCCTCTCTTCCCACAGGCAGAGAAAGACGAAGACAGCATCCCCACGAATAACGGAGAACTTGTGGTCCGGGCCAAACTGGCCCTCCCTGCAGGGCCAGGAAAGCTCCAGGAGGCTCAAGGTGGGTGGCCTCCAGCCCCACAAACGTTTGTCTGTCACTGTCCTCAGAGCCTGGGCAGTTTCCCAGCGTTTCCTCCCGTCGCCCCCGATCCCACGTGCTCCAATAACTCCCACCCAACCCGCGAAGCCCAGCCCGGGAGGCGGGTTCTCTGGAAGCCTCAGCTCGGAAGGGAAAGGAGTGACCAAAGCCAGGCCCGCGGTTCCTGCTTTACGGGCTCCTAGGACACCTGCCCCGAGGCTTTCCTCCCAGGGGGCCGGCTCGCCTGGCCTGCCTGGGCCAACAGTCCCGCTGGGGCCCCCCTCGCAGACTGACCGCCTGCGTGACGGCCGGGAGTTCGTCCCCAACTCCAGGTTCAGGCGCCTGCAAGGCTCCGAGTGACTGGCTTCCTGCTCCTGGGCCACGTGAGCAGCGGCTGCATGGCAGGATCAGGGTCCTCAAGGAGCTTCAGGAGATGTCACCGACTCATAACGTGGGGCACGTGGAAAAGACGAGGGTGGAGAGTGAAGACGGGGGGAGGGGCAGTTCCACGAAGTGACTCATGACTTCCTGTCTGCCAGAAGAGGGGGTTCTGCTGCCGGGCTCACAGGGCCCCAGCAGGCCAGCAGCACACACCCCGTGGTCTGCGGCAGCCCGTTAGCAGAGGTCTCTTCCCCAACCCGCTGGCCACAGCTGGCTCACGCCCCTGCCGCCTCCTCTCCTTGGTCCCTCGTTACTCTCGGCAGCTTCCGGTTCCCTGGATTTTAAGTCCTTCCCCGCTGCCGCCATGCTGCCCGTGCAGTGGTGCACGTGCTCCTCTGCCCGCGAGCTCTCGGGATCTGAGGGCTGCAACCCACCCTCTGGTTAAGCTGCCAGTCTGGGGTGGTGCCATCACGGGCCGCAGAAGTAGTGCTGACGGTGAATGCCAGCTTTCCTTCCAGGGACGGGAGATGAGCCATCACGTAACGGTCAGCTCTGTGTGGTAGTGCTGGGAGCCAAGAATTTACCTGTGCGCTCAGATGGTACCTTAAACTCATTTGTTAAGGGGTAAGTATTACATTTAATCAAATATGATTTATTGATGATCTATCACACATATGGCATAGTCTCTGTAAGGGAACACCAAAACGTGTCAGCCATTTTAAACTTACTTTAGCTTTCCTGTGAAAATCTGACATAATGCGTGTTAAAGACAAGTTTCCAAGAATTCGTGGGACTTGGGAGTGCTGAGGCTGGCTTGGAATACCACATTGTAAACTAAACCCAAATCTTGTCAGTCCTTGTGACATCAGTAAATCAGCCCTAGGGACTGAGTGGAGAGCAAGCGGAAAGCAGTGTGGTTGCTAAATATTTCTTTAGCTTAACATCTCCTCTTGGATTAACAGTAAGACGGATGACTCTGCGTGCTTCATTCTTATTCACTTCGGGTGTAATGGTGTCTCCAAAAGTAAAGCAAACACCATTAATAAGTATATAGAATTGCTAAATCCCCAGTCAGTGACAATAATGGAAAAATGATGGCTTACCTCATCCACACAGAACTGAGTTCATATCCTAAGCCTTCCTTCCACTTATCTGTACGGCCTTGAGCAAGTGCCTTAGCCCTTCTGCATTTATTTTCCTGAGAGCAGGGTTAAAGGAGATAACGTGTGTGCAGAGCCCTGGTCCCTGGGTAGCAGGTCTAACGAGCCTCGCTGTGGCCTGGTGGTCGTCACACCAAGGAGGCGGATTAAGACAAGGGCCACGTGGCCTCGAGTCCCGAAGTCCCCTTAACAGAGTACTCGGGACAGAATTCAGCTCTAAGAGGAATTTGGAACATCCTAGTGTGAGAGGTCACGTAGCCAAATCTCAAAATTCCTTCTTGTTCCTTGCTCACAACTTTTGTCCTGCAGTGGGTTTAGCGCTTCTCTGAGCACTTAGGCTCACTGATGAGCAGGTGCCAACAGAGAAAGGGGGCCGTGTGGTGGGCGGAGCTTACAGGGTTTGAATCTATTTCCTCGTGCAGCTGTCTCACTCTGCCAGACCAGCAGAGGTTGAGACTGAAGTCCCCCGTCCTGAAGAAGCAAGCCTGTCCCCAGTGGAAGTACTCCTTCGTTTTCAAAGGGGTCACCCCTTCTCAGCTGAGGCAATCCACCCTGGAATTAACCGTTTGGGACCAGGCCACCTTCGGCGTGAAAGACCGCTTGCTGGGAGGCGCCAGGCTTGGTTCCAGTAAGTCTGAGATATTTATAAGGCCCAAGCTGCATCGGTGATCCTTAGTCACTGTCCTACCTACATGGATACCATTAAAAGAAAAAGTGTTTCCATGATGGCAGGTGACTTTACTGGCTGTGAAACTGCCTAACCCATCATAAATGGAAATTACTTAGTTCTAGCTTTTACTTTACAACTGAGGGGTAATACAGCAAAGCATTTCAACGATTTAAATGAGATTTAGCTCTGCTAAAGAAACAAAAATTCAAGGTCTCAAAATGGGCTGGGTACAGTATTTGCTTTTGTTTTTGGCAGTCAATCATAAAAGGATTATTTTCTTAAGGAGAATATCTTCTTAACCCAAACAACTGGCAATTCAGAAAAGTATTTCATTAATAGAGGGACTAGAGGGTGACGCTTTTCAGTGTCGCTCAGCAGAAGTGCTGCTGGCTTTTCATGGGGGGGGGAGCAGGGCCCCCCAAACACTGTCACAACCAAAACACCCGCACACATTCCCAGAGCCTCCGAGGCCACTGAAGAGAAACGAGAGTGGCTGTTAAATTACAATTTGTTTAAAAAGGAACACTGTCCAAAGAACACCCTTTCCTCTAAGGAACTCCTCTCCTTACTGGCGGGGCACATTTTAATACGGTCTTAAGTTCTGGTGAAAAGTTACTGTATACTCTGCTGCTGGTCCTTTTTAAAACTGCGAAAGGACGGTGAGTGTCCCCTGGCCGCCATCACTAATCTGTCCCTCCGCTCACACAGAGGAAGAGCCAGCGGGCGGAGCAGACTCGTGCTCACGATCAAAGCTCCAGTGGCAGAAAGTGCTCTCCAGCCCCAACCTGTGGACAGACATGACCCTCACCCTGCACTGACCGGAGACTCCGGGCGCAGCGGGGTTTCAGGTGCCGGGGCCTGATGGTCGGCTGCGGGGCTGGGCGCGCGGGTACGGGGGTGGAGGGTGGCGAAGGGCCCTTGGGGAGTGTGAGCTCTCCCCGTCTACAGCCGTCCTGCCGCTGAGACGTTCTTCCACATTCCTGTGTGTATTTAGTCGGAACCATTATCGATGCTACATTAGTTAGGTCTCAGGTTGGTTATCTGTGCTTTGAGAGATGTGGAAAATGACCCGATTTCAATAAATGTTCAACAGTTACCCTGGTCTCCCTGTGTGCTTATCAAATAGCAAAAATTATGACCTTGTTATGTGCGTTTCAAAGGGAAAAGAAGAACGTGGTGGGTAGTCAATTCCTACCATTCTGCCGTGGAAAACCGTTTCTGGAGGAGGTCAGCCGTCCCCACAGGGTGCTGAGGGATGCCCGTTTCCGGTGGGTCGGCGCTAAGGTCACCCGAGGGCTGCCCAGCCCCACACAGCGCGGCTGCCAGGCTGCGCGGGCGCTGAGTCCGAGAAGGGCTGCTCCGGCAGCACCTGCCCAGAGACGCCTGCCGCCGCATCCCGCAGGCCTTTGGGTTCAGGACACCTGAAAGGAAGAGGACCGAGCAGAGCGTGGAAAGGCAGGATGCGAGTGAGCAGAAGTGGCACCGAGCGAGTGCGGACACCTGCCGCCTTTTCAAGGACGTGGTCGGGAGGGGAAGGAGGTCGGAACAGGTTGTGCTTGTGGAGGGACCGAGATGCTGACCGGGTCAGAAGGGCCCTCACGGCTGGAGTCCGAATTATCAGAACAGCCTGCGAGTCATTTTCCAAACAAGCAGCTCTGATAGAAAATTCAAATTGCGCGCAGTCGATTACATGCACAAGCAACGCTTAAAAGTAAAAAGCCGTGTTCCCCGATGAGACTACAACGGTTAATGAGCCTCACTGCTGCCCTCAGGCCACGTCAGATTAAGTGCTATGGTTACATGGTTTTTAATACGTAATTTTTATTCTGTAAAAGGTAACAAAATATACAGAATGAAACTTTCCCTTTTTTAAACTAATGTTACGAACCCATCTCATCACTTACATATAAATACTGCACTCTACAGCTGATTATTTAGGTGTGTAAGTCCAACAACGTAGCCCTCTAGCTGTTAAGCAAAAAAAAAAGAAAAAAAAATGATCCAAGAATACAGTCTCCTGCATTGTTTATCCTGAGTGATCGAGTGATCACAGGATTTCATCAACTGAACTGAAGGCCTGGAGGAAGGAAAGCGTGTGTGCGAGTGTGTGTGAGAGAGAGTACTTCAGACTCTTCAAAAAGTTCATCCTTCAAAAACCAAATATACAAAGATGCGTCCTTCATAGAAATCGAGAAGATCAATGTCAGCTAATTTCAAATAGAAAAGAGTATGGCACAGAATATAAGCCACGATGTGGCCTGAATTACATGGAATCTCGCATCACACATGCCAGCACGGAGTTAGTTATTCAGACATTACAGGCATCTTAACTGATTCAGCCCTGCTCCAAGCATAAAACAGGAAGTGATTCAATGATAATAATAAAAATAAAAATCAGGCCTGTTTGGCACTATGATACAGTTGGGGAAAAATAAACTCCCAGCCCTAGAACATTCCCGTAACTACTCTCTTTTTAAAGGGCCCGGAGGACGACGAGGGCTGTAGGTCTGGAGAACGATCAGTACAAGTACGCGCTAGAGTCGGCCGGCGGCCCTCGCTCCGCCGAGCCCGGGCGGCGGCGCCCCTCACATGGCCTCGAACTCGTCGATGCGCTGCTTGGTGTTGCCCTGGCGGATCTGACGCAGCGTCTTGTACTTGTCCCGGCCTTGCCTCATGTTCTCGTTGTGGATGATGTCATTGTGGGTCCGCTTGTTCTCGTCTCTGGCCTGGGACAGCTCGCTGGTCAGAGTCTGCAACGCGAAGCAGCCTCGGTCAGCCCGAGGCCCCACACAGAGCGCCCCCCCGCCCTCCGTGGGGAGAGTGGGCCCGGCCCGCATCCCGCTCACCCGCAGCTGCCGCTGCACGCGCTCGTTCTTCTCGGCCTCGGTAACGCGCTTCTCCTCGTTGCGGTCGTCCAGGATGCCCTCACTGGACAGCTCGGCGCTGTAGCCGGGGTACTCCGTGCCCTCCTCCTGCGGGTTCTCCTGGACATGGTAGTTAACGGGCTCGTACACTGGGGGCGGAGGCGGCGGGGGCGCGGTCATCACCAGGTGCAGCTCCTCCTTGGTCTTTACCAGGTCATCCTGGGCTTCTTTGGCCTTTGAAAGCAGATTAAGGGACAGCTGCGAACCTTTCACGGGGAACCTCGTGTTTGGACCATTTTCTTAAGAGCCGCCTTTGCTCTACAAGGCGGCCACCGTCCGTGCTAAGAGAAGAAGGATTCCGCTCCCTCCCCCCACTCCCTTCTCCTGGGGGCTGGAGATGCGCGTGGCGTGGCCTGAAGCAGCACAGAGCTGAGGCGCCAGGAATGTGGCTGAGCAGGTGGCCCTGGTCTGTGCAGCCTCCTCCAGGTCTGCGGACCCGGATCCCCTGAGCAGGTTATCAACTGTGCCCACGGCACCAAGAGAAACTGTCACACCAGGTCTTGACATTTTTCTGAGTACTAAAACTTCTCTATGTCTGTAGTCCTTGTATATGTTCACTGCATATACTTTTGAAACAACTGTTAAAGAAGCAAAACCCTCCAGCCACTGAGGAGCACTCCAGCACGCTGGTGTTCCGTTTGTTCTTCCCCTGCACGGGCGCTGCTATCAAGCCCCTCCCGGCCTGCCAGCCCCCAGCTCAACCCCTTCTTACCTGCCACCCAGTAGTCCTTCCAGCAACTCCTGGGGGTCCGCACACTCAACCCCACCCACCTCGTCACCATCCTGACCCCGAGACGCGCTTAGCTTGTACCCGTTTTGTAACCGGTTCCTCATTTAACACTTTATAAGGAGCAACTTTCTCCGAAAACCTAAGGACTGAAGTGTTCTGCACACAGCTGGAGTAGGGGGATGGGGCGGGGGTGACACAGACCCATGAGGGGGAGGTGCCGGCCATCCCCCAGAAGGGACCACCGTGGAGGGGGAAGCGTTGGAAAGAGCTGGGGAAGGGAGAGGAGCCCCACGGCCTGGCCGTGGTCTACACTCTGAACCCGACCCACAGCACGATCCCGGTACGCAAGGGGGCTCCCAGATGGAGACAGGCGCCCCTGACGCCGAAACCAACGCGGTTCTCACTATGACAGCGAAAACTGACTAAACCCCTGGGGGTCCTTACGAGTCGGGTATTGCTCGTCCCGATCTGCAAGGAAACCGAGCCTCAGAGGCGAGGCCGCCGGCCCGGCAGAGCCTGGAGACCCCCAGGATCCAGGTCTTCCCACGCGTGGACCGGCGCTGGGAGCGGCAGGAGGGCTCCGCGCAGCGACCACGGCCCGGCGGCTGGGGGCACCCGCGTAATCCCACACAGGGGGCTGCCAGAGCACGATGAGCAAGTGGCTCTCGTTCCCCTGCTGCCCCCCCCCCCCCCACCGCGTCCTCGCCAGCGCCCACCCGGAGCTGCCACTCCTCCACCTCGTCCTCCTTGCGCCGCCGCGCCTCCTCCAGGAGGGCGATCTTGGCAGTGTACTCGGCGAGTTCCGTGGCCTGGGGACGGAGCCGGGGCCGAGGTGACTTCCGGGACGCGCTCGGCAGGCGCCACTCGCGAGCGGGGGGTCACGGAGTTTGGTACATGGCGCCGCATCCCCGTCCAGCGGTTTCCACCCGCTGCCCGAGGGCCAACCACCGCAGGGCCCCTCCCCACGGGCCACCCTACACCCTCAGGCAGGTCACCTTACAGCCCCAATACCAATTATTATAAGGCGGGTGTCACTTTTTCAATCCCCAGAGGCGGCCTCTCTGTAACTGAGCACCGTGAGGCCGCGCCCCCTACCAGCTGCTCCTGGCTCTTGATCTGATCCGCCGCCTGCCTCTCCAGCTCGTCCTTGGCGTGCAGCGCGGCCAGGCGCTCGGCCTCCAGGCGCTCGGACTCCTCCTGCGCCCGCTTCCTCTCCTCCTCCAGCTTCAGGGCTCGCTGGATCTGGTCCGAGAGCTCTAGACACAGCGCAGAACCAGAGCTGCTCAAGGCTCCTGCCAGGGACCCTGCAGTCTTGCCCCGAATTCCCACCCAGAAGGGACCGGGTGGGACACGAGCGTGAACACACCAACGCTGCAAAGCGGTGGACCGAGTTACACGGTGCCGGGACCGCTTCTCCCCGGGACACTGAAGGGAACGCTCACAGTGGGAAAACTGCCCTCCCCCGGCCAGGCCCTGGCCGCACCCTCGCGTTGCGCTGCTCTCCCCAGAAACTCGGCATCTGCACCGCTTGCCAGCTTATAGCGGGGGAGGGGCAGCACAGCTCCGTGACCGCGGGCCAAGCGTTACAGCGGGGGAGATGCAGCACAGCTCCGTGACCGCGGGCCAAGCGTTACAGCGGGGGAGATGCAGCACAGCTCCGTGACCGCAGGCCAAGCGTTCTATCTCACGGAACCTTAACATCCTCGTCAGAAACGGGGGATAATTCAGCCCTCCCCTCACAGGCCTGGGGGCAATTCAAAGGATTACTGTGCATAAAGCATTCAGCACAGAACCCACACAGGTGTTAATAAAATACAGAATTATTTCCTAATCCAAACGACCGTTTTATCACGTCTCTCCTGCAAGTCTCTACTTCGGGTATGTGCTTAACCGGGATGTGTATCCTTGGGACGGGGTTCCCTCCCGGTTGGTGTGTGCGGTTGGTGTGTGCCGACCGACCGTCCCAGCCCACCGGGGCGGAGGCCCCGCCCACCTTTCTCCGCTTTCCTGGTCTTCTCCGCGTAGTCCTGGAGCCTGAGCATCAGCTCTTCCTTCTCACGCACCATCTGCTCTTTCTCTCTCTCCACGGTTTCTCTCCTTTTCTTCTCGGTTTCCAGCTGCTGCCTGTTTCCGGGAGGGGAATCAGCGGCGGCACAGGAGGCTCAGACTCCGCACAGCGGCCTGGTCATCCCAGCCCAGGCACGTGAGGGGCAGCTGCGTCTCGGTTACCGGCTGTCCCCAGCGCCTAGTCCAGGCCCCGGGCCCCTCCGTCCAGCAGAGGACGCTGGTGACAGCACTGACCCCAGGTGCCCTGACTGCTCTCCACCTCGGGCTCGGGCTCTGCCCTGCCCACAGCGAGGCAGCTCTGAGGGCTGAGCCGCGGCCCTGCAGACTGTGATCCGCCGGCCCTTCTGTGGGGAGCAGCGCAGACACGGCTGCCAG